GAGATAAAAAACACAAGCTGAAAGTTTGACCCCAGCAAACAGAACATCCAATTATTTCTACAGCATTGGAGTAAAGGAGACAATGGAATGAGTAATTTTTTTTAAAGATAATAGAATTTATTTTTTTTATTTTCCACAAGTTTTTGAGTTCCAAATTTCTCACCCCTCCCCCCACCCCAAGATGGCATGCATTCTGAATACCCCTTCCCCTGGTCTGCTTTCTCTTCTATCTCTCCCCCCTCCCTTCTCTTATCCCCTTCTCCTTCTATTTTTCCTGTAGAGCAGGATAGACTTCTGTACCCCATTTCCTGTATTTCTTATTTCCCAGTTGCATGTGAAAACATTTTTTTTAAACATGTGTTTTTAAAACTTTGAGTTCCAAATTTTCTCCCTTCCTCCCTCCCCACCCACCCTCATGGAAAACGCAAGCAACTCAATATAGGTTGTACATGTGCAGTTATGCGAAACACTTCCTTAGTAGACATGTGAAAAACTAACTCTATTTCCCTTAATCCTATCCTGCCCTCCCATTTATTCTATTCTTTCTTTTGACCCTGTCCCTCCTCAGAAGTATTTGCTTCTGATTACCCTCTTTCCAATCTGCCGTCCTCTCTATCACCCCCCTGCTCTCTTGTCCCCTTCTCCCCCTATTTTCCTGTAGGGTAAGACAGATTTCCATACCCAATTGAATGTGTATGTTATTCTCTCCTTAAGCCAAATCCTATGAGAATAAGATTCCCTCATTCCCTCTCACCTTCCCCTGTTTCCCCTCCACTGTGAGAGACTTTTCTTTTCTGTTTTTTTTTTGTGTGAGATAATTTACCCCATTCTACCTCTCCCTTTCTTCTCCGAGTATCATCCTCTCTCATCCCTTAATTTTATTCTCCAGATATGACCCCTTAATCTTCAACTCACCCTGTGCCCTCTATCTATATATACATACATACAATTTTTTTTTTCCTTCAGCTACCCTAATACCGACAAAGTTCTCATGAGTTACAGATATCTTTCCATGCAGGAATGTAAACAGTTCAATCTTAATAAGTCTCTTATGATTTCTCTTTCCTGTTTACCTCTTCATGTTCCACTGGAGTCCTGTATTTGAAAGTCAAATTTTCTGTTTAGCTCTGGTCTTTTCATCAGGAATGCTTGAAAGTCCTCTATTTCACTGAATGACCATTTTTTCCCCTGAAGGATTATACTCAGTTTTGCTGGGTAGGTGATTCTTGGTTGTAATCCTGTCTCCTTTGCCCTCTGGAATATTATATTCCATGCTCTGTGGTCCTTTAATGTAGAAGCTGCTAAATCTTGTGTTATCCTGATTGTGTTTCCACAGTACTTGAATTGTTTCCTTCTGGCAACTTGTAATATTTTTTCTCCTTGACCTGGGAACTCTGGAATACAATATTCCTAGGAGTTTTCCTTTGGGGATCTCTTTCAGGAGGAGATCTGTGGATTCTTTCAATTTCTATTTTGCCCTCTGGTTCTAAAATATCAGGGCAGTTTTCCTTGATAATTTCTTGAAAGATGGTGTCTAGGCTCTTTTTTTGATCATGGCTTTCAGATAGTCCAATAATTTTTAAATTCTCTCTCCTGGATCTATTTTCCAGGTCAGTTGTTTTTCCAATGAGATATTTCACATTGTTTTCTAATTTTTCATTCTTTTGGATTTGTTTTAGTGTCTTGATTTCTCATAAAGTCATTCGAATTGCTCTATTCTAATTTTTAAGGAAGTATTTTCTTCAGTAATCTTTTGGACTTCCTTTTCCATCTGGCCAATTTTTCTTTTTAGGGCATTTTTCTCCTCATTGGCTTTTTGGACCTGTAAATTTTCAGTTCTTCCAAGGTGGTATGATAAGGGGCGAGGTGTTTACTCCTTTCCTGGCCTGTGACCACAAGTATTCCTTTCTGTCCTGTAACTGTGAGGAGGGGTTCCTGTCCACAGCCACTACAAGCTCCACCACACCAGCGTTCCTCCTCACCCCCAGCACTGCTGCCCAGAACTGTGACCCAGATCCACATATGGGCAAAGCAAGAGATTCCTGCCTGAGCACTGGCAAAGAGATCCCTGCAATCCCTCTCTGATCAGCCACTGAATTCTCCTTCAGTCTGTGGGCCAGAAGCTTGGGAAGCAGCTTCCCCCCCCCCCAGGGCCCTTATCTTCCTTCAGGTTGGCCTTTCTTCCCAACCTTCCCATTTGCTTTGACTAGCCTGAGGCTTCCTGAACCCCCTTGTTTTATCCCTTCCCCTTCAGGCTGTAAAATCCAGTGTCTCATGAATTACGTTTTGTCCAGCCAACACCACTACCTTAAATTTTCACAGGGCTCATCATGTGTATGTAGAGTCTATATCAGATTGTACACTGTCTTGGTGGGGGAGAAGTAGGAGGGGGAGAAAATTTAAAACTCAAATCTTATGAAAGTGAATGTTGATAGCTAAAAATAAATAAATTAATTATTAAAAAAAAAAAAGAAGTGCGGCCAACAGCCTTCTCCTCTCTCCTTCTGAGAAGGCAGTGAAGTAGTCCTTGTGCTTCAAAGCCATTCCATTGTTGGCCAACTAGAATTGCTAGCCCTGTCTTGCTTTAGCATTGAGCTGAAATCTTCCTGTAACTTTCTTTCTTTCATTCTGGGTCTGCCTTTTGTATTAACACAGAACAAGTCTACTCAACCCTCTATATGAAATCGTTTCAAATATTTGAAAACATTTCCTGCTTTGGCATTTCATTGACTTATTGGTTTTCTAATTAATGATTACCCATCTTCAAAATTACTTCTACCTCAGATCCACCTGTATTTTGAATCTGAAGCTGAATGGTTATTTCCTTACTCTGACTTCCTTTTGTCCTTTACTGCATGGCTATTCCCTGTCCCACTGCCACTTCTCCCTGTTCTAGCCCTGGAGCTTGGCCTAAACTACCCTTATCTTCCTTCAGGTTGGCCTTTCTTCCCAACCTTCCCATTTGCTTTGACTAGCCTGAGGCTTCCTGAACCCCCTTGTTTTATCCCTTCCCCTTCAGGCTGTAAAATCCAGTGTCTCATGAATTACGTTTTGTCCAGCCAACACCACTACCTTAAATTTTCACAGGGCTCGTCATGTAGTGTGTGGTAGGAAGGACAACACTCGGTCAGAGGAAAGTGTAAAAAAGCAAACACCTTTCTTTACCAGCAAAAACGATCTAACAACAAGTCAAGACAACCCTACACCAGTTACACTAGTGAGTCTCACCTACTTCAGCCAAGATGGAATACTACCACTTTCTCTCCTAAAAACAAACTCCTTCCCAAAGAGCATGCCAAAGCAAAATAACCACACTTAAAAACACCTGTTCCTTAAAGCATTTGGGGATGATTAAAATCTCTTTAGTAGCTGGTATGCCAAATTCTAACATAGTATGGAGGAGACACAAAAGCCTCCCTAAAGTAATTGACCTTTGCAACCAGGGTCACAGGAACCCAGGCATAAGAGACTTCAGAATCTTACTGAAATTGTAGATGCAATTATTCCAAAATGTAATTTATATTTTAAGTGAAATTTATAAGTAGGCTGGCTAGTATGGTTTTAAAAAAGTAAATATGTTTCTGGTTATAAAAATTAGATCTAATAACTTGGCAGTGTTTTCATGTGTTTTTAAATTGTACTTTGTAGCACAGTGTAATACTGTCCCTTTTGGGGGGGGAAGGTATCTTATTATTTTAGAGAAAGTGAGACGGTGGTCTGAATTTGCATTATATTTCTGTCGCTTGCTACCTGTAGATCCATAAACAAATCAGTCTGCTATTCTGGGCCTCAGTTCCTTCAGCTGTAAAAATTAGGGACATGTGCTAAATGATCTCCAAGGTCCCTTCTAGCTCCACATCTCTATGATCCTGGAAGGGACATGTGAGAAACTGAGGCCCTTAACAGAGCTTCTTAACTTAAAATTTTTGGTAACTGTATTTCAATAAAATTGAATTCCTTTGTAATTCTTTGTATTTTTATGCGTTCAAAAACATTATTGTGAGAAAGGTCCATCACACTGTCAGAGAGGCCTATGACACAAAAAATGCCATCATGACCCTGCTATCTCTCATTCATGGTAGGGAACGCTGGTATTCACAACAAATTCCCATCAGAACATATTTTTGCCTTTTTTTGACCCTTGGCAGGTAGGTGGCTCAGTGAGTAGAGTTCTGGGCCAGGAATCAAGAGGACCTGAGTTCAGATTTGGCTTCAGACACTTACTGCCTATGTGACCTTGGGCAAATTACTTAACCTATTTGCCTCAGTTTCCTCATCTGCAAAATGATGATAATAAGAGCACCTTGTTCTGAGGATCAAGTGAGATAATCATTGAAAAATGTTTAGCACATTTCCTGGTACATAGTAAGTATTATATAAGTGTTAGCTTTTATTAGCTATTATTGTTCAATATGTGTGTGACAGTTTCTTTGTGCTTGGGAGTGGGTGAGAGATTGTGTTTGTGTTTGAGAGAGGATGTGTAACTAATGCAAATTAAGTGAAAGGGGAGGTAAAAAGGAGCGTGAGGGATAAAATATAAAGGCAGGAAGACAAAAAAGTTCACATTTGTATCCGTAAAAATTTAGGACAGATAAAATTTGTTATTAAAATTCCAGAACATATATTAGCTTGAGTAAATGAAATAATCACAGCCCATAATGTTACTTCCATAGACAAAGAAAGCTAAATTAAATAAGACTAAATCCAATTATTTTTATAGAACATATTTATCTATAAAAATTTAGAATTTTATAGTTATTGCACTATTAATAGCATCTTACTGATATTGTAGATATAATGATTCCAAAATAAAGTCTGTATTGTAAATGAAATCCATAACTATGTTGGTTAGTATTATTTTTAAAAAGTAAATACATTTCTGATTATTAAAAGTAGATCTAATAACTTGGTAATATTTTCAAAGATTTTAAAATTTTTTTAAGAATCTAGTTTGTAGCATAGTATAATATTTTCTTTTTCTTTTTTTTTTCCCCTTGCAGGAAACTCCTGAATTGGCTACCGAAGTCAAATGAAATGCAGCTAAGTGATGGAGCAGCTATTCCAGAATGCCCCCTCTGCTAAAAATTAAATAAAATAATTCCATTACACCTCATAGAACAGACAGGGGGTGGAAAATTACGGTTTTTGCAAAAGTAAACTACAAAATTACTATATTTACAAAAGTCTCCTGGAAAAACATTTCATGTTACTAAGTTACTGAAGGAATAACTTCTTTTTGACCTATTGCAACTGTGAAGAGAATAACTGCTACATTAAAACAGGACTTATATATGTTAGATTATTTTTCTAGCAAATTGTTATTTCATAGAAATCATGATATGATCATTAGAGAGAGAAAAACCCCCAACAACTGAAGTCCATGTGTGTCAAGATGACCTCTGAAGAAATGGTAGCTTCTGTTCTTGTTCCTGTGACACAGAAGAAAGTGATAGCTGCTCACTCAGCTACAGATGAAAGTGGTGAAAATGCCTCAGACACCAGTGTTATAAAAAGACGTACTAATAAACCAAACAAAGAAATTCCTCATACTCTCTCATGCTTGAACATATTTAGAGAAGAACGTATTGAAAGTCCATTGCCCAAGATTTTCTCAGTCTCAAGTAAAGACGCAATGAATGATACGAATAGCCGTGAAAACTTTGGGGAGAGAAGTGTGCCAGATTCAGTGGAGTATATTAACGTTAACTGTAACAACATGCATAAGAACTGTCAGAGTTCACATAGCCAGTTGTCTAAGTCATGTGAATCTGTATCAGAAGAAAACCTGTGTTTGGATACTGGAATTTCATCTTCACTGGAAAGAAACATGTTTGCTGGAATTAAACTGGAAGTAGATGAACCTCCAGGAGAAACAAATCCTATTAGAAGTCAATCAGCAATTATTCAAACTAGCAGAGGTCATACTGATAACATGGCTATATTTCATTTTCATTATGCAGTTGAGAGAAATGTATCAAAGACTTTTTGTACCATATCTGATGGCTTAATTTTAGATGATTGTGGCAACTGTGTACAACTACCAGATATTGGAAATGATCAAAAGGGCGATTACTCAGCATATACTTGTAGTTTAATGGAACTGGCAAATGACTGTGACAAAAAGAATGGACTGAAGAGATATGATAACTATGATACCTTAAGTGATAAATATTTATGCTTAGAAAGATCTTGCCAGAAGGTTAAAATGGTATGTTCAAATAAAAGCTGCTGTGGTGATAATTTTCCTGGAAGAATGCCCACCAAGCCCTTTTTGAGTCATTTGGAAGATTGTACTGATCATTTTGAAGAAGACATGGAGGAGGATTTTTTTAAAAACAAAAGGGAGCGGTCCACTTTGTTAATTAGAAGATTTTGCAAAAATGATAAGGAAGTTAAGAAATCTGTTTATACTGGAACCAGAGCAATTATGAGAACCCTGCCTTCTGGGCACATAGGGCCTGGAGCTTGGAGTTATATTGAACAGAAAAGAAATCATGAAATTAAGAACTTTAACAGTTCAGCAGAGCATATAGCAAGAGTACAGATTAGGCAAGATGTGAATGTCTGTCTTAGAAAATCCCATTGGTATTTGGTAAGACTTTAATATTTCTTTTGAAAAACTTGTTTAATTTTATTCTTTTTCCTGTCTTAATCTCCTTTTACTTAACTGCCAGAAAGCTTCAAACTTATGTAAGTCATAACTTGATATTGGTGGACTGACACAATGCAGTCTTCAATTAATTTAACATAGTGCTGACTGTCTAAAATCTTTAAAAGAATGTAATAATTTAAGTGACCCCTAGAGGGCTTCTGAAAGATGGAGAAGTTCTTTTACAGTTGACAGTTGGAGCTGGATCAGCACTGCAAGATAATTTATAAATATACATATGTATATGTACATATATGTATTTTGTTATAGGGGTTGGAAGAGTATTTTTGTAGATGATAGAAGAGAAATAAAGACTGGCTGTCCAAGTGCAGGGGTGGAATGGAGGACATTGGTGAGGATAAGGATTGTCACTTTCTCATGTCTGTTTTTCCTCAGCCTCCTAGCACCCTATGATTAAAAAAGTAAAAATATTGTTATATACCTTTCATTTTGTCCATTTAGAAGTCACTTTTCATGGTCTGTAAAGGAAGCTTGAGTTTGAAGGAAGCAACTACAGATGTTACTGTTTCTCATGTCCATTGGAAGCTTGTCCACCTCTTCTCTTTGTCTCCTTTCAAAAGATCCTAAAAAACCTCCATATATATAGGGAAAAGACAAACAAAGAACACTCTCAATTCCTGATCTTGTGTTAGCTTCCTCTCTTCCCAGGTCTTTGTGGCTAGTCCAAGCCATGCCATGTTATTATACTAGTTGTGGACCTCTGATCTGTATTCCAGTTGGTCAGTATCCTTTTTAATAGTGTCACTCAGAACTGGATGTAGTACTTCAGATGTGGTGTGATCAGTACCTATAAAATGGAACTTCTTACCTTTCTTGCTATAGAAATTATGCAGTGGGTGGAAAGAGCTTAGATTTTGAGTCTGTAACCCTGGTTTTGAATTTTGGCTTTGCCACCTGTATTCCTTTTAAAATACCCTCTGGGCGTCCATTTCCTTATCTGTAAAATGCATGAATTAGATTGGATGATTTCTGAGGTTCCTTCTAAGCATGTAACCCTCCTTTCTACTTCATAGCATTTGTAAGGATCAAATGAAACTACATATACACACATATGTGAAAGTGCTTTGAAAACTATATATTGCCATTCACATGGTAGCTGGGTACATATTGTTAAGTAAATGGTGATAAGACACTCTTTAGAAAGAAGGAAGTTTAATTGGATTTTAGTTTTCTCCTGAAGGTGTTGTGGAATTCAGAAGGGAAGTAGTAAAAATAGTTGACAGCTCCAGATATAGATTTTTTAATGCCAAATGGCCCAAAAGGCTTTGTCATCTTTGAGGTTTGTTTTAAAGAATTTAGTTTTGTGTTGATAATTTGGCCATAGTAGATTGCAGTTTATTTATTAAACTGCAGTTTATTTTTAGGAAGTTGATTCATGGCATTAGCATTATTATTTCTCTTTTGACAAGACAGTAGACTAAGATATTTCTGAGATGTATTCCAGAGTCAGAATAACAAATGAAGATGCAAGAAGGGTGACTGAAGTTCACGGACCAGTCCTAGTGACTTCTTAGTTTCATAGGGCATCATTGTGTGGAGCAGTGGGTGTAAGGTGTGGGTTCCCCTTATTGAAGGTCTTTTTAAAATATTTATTGATATTCTTTGTTTTTTAAATTCTCTCTGTGTCCCTTTCCCTCTTCCAGAGAGCCATCCATATAAAAATGTTTTCAAAGAAAAATAGGAAGAGAAAAAAAATCAACACAACCAATCAATAAATAGGAAAAGTCTGAAAGTATATGCAGTGCTCCACACCCTTGGACTTTCTACCTCAGCAAAGAAGTGGGGTAGAAGTGTCTTCTCACATCTCTTATTTGGCTCCATGCTTGCTCTTTATAATTTTGCAGTACAGGCATACCTCACTTTATTGCACTTTGCTTTATTGTGATTTGCAGGTATTCCTTTTTTTTTTTTTTAACAAATTGAAGGTTTGTGGCAACCTTAAGTCAAGCAAGTCTGTCAGTGCCATTTTTCTAACAGCGTATGTTCATATTGTGTCTCCATGTTACATTTTGGTAATTGTTTCAATACTTCAAGCTTTTCATTATTATATCTGTTATGGTGATCTGTGATCAGTGATCTTTGATGTTACTATTGTAATTATTTTAGGGAGCCACAAATGGCCTCCATGTAAGACAGTGCGCTTCATTGATAAATGTGTGTTCTGACTGCTCCTCTGTTCTTTTCTTCTCTTCCCCTCTTCTTGGGCCTTCCTATTCTCTGAGACACAACAATATTGAAATTAGGCCAGTTAATAACCCTATAATGGTTCTAAGTGTTCAAGTAAAAGGAAGAATCGGTTGATGTGGTGGACTTCATTGTCGTCTTAATAATTAATTGCCACAGCTACCCCAACCTCCAGCAACCACCACCTTGATCACTCAGCAGCCATCAACACTGAGGCAAGACCCTCCACTAACAAAAAGATTATAACTCGCTGAAGGCTCAGATGGTAGTTAACATTTCTTAGCAATAATGTGGTTTTTTTTCCAGTCAAGGAAAAAAGGAAATAGGTATTTATTAAGCACCTACTGTGTGCCAAGTACTGTGCCAAACACTTTACAAACATCGTCTCATTTGGTCCTCACAAAAACCCTGAGTTAAGTGCTATTATTATCCCCACTTTACAGATGAGGAAACTGAAGCAGATAGGTGACTTGCACAGATCAAAGGGAGATAGAGTGTCATGTGCAAGGACAGCGAATAGAACAGTATAGTTAGGTTGCTGAATGCGTGGGAGGAAATGATGTGTTAAGAAAACCGGGAAGGTGATATAATCAGGCCTGTGCTTTGGGGAAATCACCTCATACCACTTTCTTTCTTGCTTCTTCTATCTTCTGGTACTTAGGGAGACTTGGTTTCCTCTGGATGGTACTGAGTGTGTTCCTGGCCATCTTTTCCAGGGACAACTCCATTTTCAATCAGATCCTGACTCACTGCTCATGGTGAGAGAGTAAAAATATTTCTTGCTCTTCATGGACACTACAGTTTCTCCCTTTTCTACCATCATTCAGCAGTCCTTTGTCCTCTGAGAGTCATGAAATCCAAATTCATGACTCAGTTAAATTTTTGTAGCCACCATCTCCTGAGCTCTGCATTATTTTCCTTTCTTTCTCGAAGGATCTGGTGCCTGGCTTGCAGTCTCCCTTTCCACCCCAGCTCCTGCCTTCACAATAGGAACTTCAGCATCCAGTACTGATGTTCCCTTAAATGCCCTTAACTTCTAGTTACTCAGTGTACTTAACTCCTGTAACCTACTTCTCTACTCTACCTCAGCCACACACAGGGATATTCACTCCCTTGATCTAGCCACCATCAATCAGCCATTCCATGTTCAAGAGCTTTGAAATGCCTTTATCTGATCAAAACATTTTTATCCTTCCATCTTCCCCTGGACCTCATTTGAAAGTATGCTGTTAGATGTTTACCAGCTGGCTGTCTGGGGGAAAAAAAAGTACACACGACATACTTTTACGTTGAATCTGCATTAACACTTTCTCCATCACTTTCTGAAGCCTAGAAAATCAACAATAACAACAACAAAAATAAATCAAGCTGACTTTTAGTGTTTGCGTTATTCTGAAGAGTAAATGTTCATGCTGAAAATTTAACAGTTATCTCTTGTGAGCCTGTTTCATTTAGCTCTAGCACACCTTACGCCTTACTCCTCCTAAACTGACTCCTCTTCTTCACCATGATCTCTAATTCTTCCATTCCTCAGTACTTTCATCCTATTCTTTCTACATTCTCTTCTCTTCCTAATCTTGATCTCTGGACAAACCAGTTCAGCTCTTAAGTATTGTTTTATTCTTGGTTCTCTTGTTCTCTTTTCTCATAACTTATCACATCTTGCCAAATGTCAATCCTGGATTACTCCTACCCTCTGCCACCATTACTCCTGTGTACATGCTACTGAATGGAAGGAGAGGGACACAAAACTGTTGACTTCAACTGGACTCTCAATGCACCAAGGCAATTTTTTCAGCCTTATTTAATTCTCTAACACACAACAACTGCTATTCTAAACTATCTCTTCTCTCCTCAAGCCTCCTACACATCCTTCTTCCTCTCTCCTCTCAGCTCAGAATATTTCCTCATACTTCAGAAAAAAAAATTGAGTCCATTAACTAAGAGCTCTTTTTTCCCCCTTCTTTATCTCTTACCTCTCTAACATTACTCCCCACTATGGGGCAGCTAGATGGCTCATGAATAGAGTACTGGGCTTGGAGTCAGGAAGATCTGAGTTCAGATCTAGCCTCAGACATTTGCTAACTGTGTACAAGCCCATCCTTCCTATGTAAAAAGAGAACCGAACCTACACTAGAGCCTTGAGGTATGCCTGAAGTTAGTATGTTTGACATGGATAATGAACAATAAAAGAAACCGAGTACTGGTTAGGGTTAGCACAGTGTCATGTCTATCCATATAGGAGAGGGACTATAGTGGAGAAGGTGGTAGCAATAATGTATTTTTAAATTAAGGTATGTACATTGTTGTTGTTTTTTTACTTAATACTATTGCACACTTAATAGACCACAGTATAGTGTACATATAACTTTTACCTGCACTGAGAAACCAAAAAATTTGTATGACTTAACTTTATGGCAATATTCACTTTATTGTGGTGATTTGGAACTGAACCCACAGTATCTCTGAGGTATGCCTGAATTCACTTTTGATTGCTTTGTCATTGTTATTTTCATTTACATTGCTGTAATTATTGTATATATTTTTTTCTTGACTATACTTCACTTTGCTTCAGATCATGTAACTCTTTCCATGTTCTGTAATCATCATGTTTGTCATTTCTTAGAGTATAGTAATATTCCATCATATTGATGTATCACAATCTGTTTAACCTTTGCCCAATCAATAGGTTTGTTTTCTGTTCTTTCCTACCACAAAAAAAGGTGGTGGCAAAGCCC